CCCCCCCCCCCCTGCATGGTACTGTTAACTCAGACAAGACAAATAAGTTCTCCAAATTCCTCAATATCTTCTGCACTGAAAATTATTACAGCCGTAAAACTGTGACACTATATTGACTCAAAGCAACTATCAAGTTGAAATAGATCGCATCAGCATTTGTCTTTGGACACAAGTAATTAATGTAAGAGGTAACTGATCCATTTGCAAATCAAATTACACACCACAAATGGCCCATCAAAACCAGGCCACGAATTTATCAGGTCCATTTAAAGTATTGTTCTTGTTTGATTTAAAACATATTTGATCTCTAAGTCCACTCATCCTACAGTATATAAATTGCTGGTTATTCAAATATGTAATAATTAATATTGTTGTTCTTCTTGTTTTGTTGCTGTAGTCGTTGTTAATAATAATAATTTATATTTAAATTGTGTAAATTCCTAGTACAGACTCATCTGTTCATAGCAAACCTTTTTGAATTCCTCCTTCTCTTCAGGTCCAATCTTGCAGCTCTTCCTGACGTCAGATGTTTAGTGAGAGTGCCAGAATGACCCTTGCAGGTAGGCAGAGGACATAGGAAAAGTGATATTTATTACCTGTATTTCAGAGATGGTCCTTAATGCTTAAATCACCATTATTACTTTTACCCTGTCATTGTAATTCTGAATACTTACCTATTTTTCACTTGTAAAAAACATGTTGCTAAACAGATGCATGATTTCCCAAAGCCTACAGAGAGAAGATGAAGGAGCTTCCCCTGGTCTCCATCCTGTGCTCCTGTCTGCGTCCCGACGTCCTGGATAAACCCTCATATAAAGCTGAAGGTAAGAATCAGCAGGAAGAAAAACACAGCAGGTCATGCAATTGCTAATTCCATGGGTAATGTACCTTGCTGTGGGGGGTGCAGCGGTTCGCACTATTGCCATACACTGCTGGGATGAGGGTTCAAGTCTCTGCCATGACTACATGTGTGTGGAACTTGCATGTTCTCTGTGTTGTTGTGGGGTTTCCTCTGGGTTCTCCAATTCCCCCCCCACTCCAAGAACATGCTGAGGCTGATTGGAGTTACCAAATAGTGTGAATAAATAGGGTTTGTGCTCCATCCTTTTCCCTGCCTTGCCCCCATAGCCGCAGGCATAGGCTCCGGACCCCCCCTCCCCAGACCCTGAATATAACAAGCAGTTACAGAAAATGGATGGATGGATTTGTTTAATTAAACTAGCCTCTACTGCCTCCTGTTGGTCAGTGTCCATATACTCTCTGAAGTCTCACACATACCTACTTCTAGATGCTGTGGACCTCAGCTGGTGTGTAATCAAAGATGTGGAGGTCATCGAGCTAAACAAGCGGGCGTCCGGACAGGCCTTCGAAGTCATCCTCAAGCCCCCGTCCTTCGACGGTGTGCCAGAGTTTAATACCTCCATGCCCCACCGCCGGGACCCATCTCTGGAGGAGATCCAGAAGAAGCTGGAGGCAGCAGAGGAGAGACGAAAGGTGAAGAATGAGGGAAACAAGCAGAAAAAAACCTTCCTATCATAAGATATCAATCCTGCTTTTTTTAGCTATAGAGTCTGCTTTCCACAAAACGTATGTTTCTGACAGTTGGAAATGTAGAAACAACTGGCACTCAAAGATTCAAAAGAAGTTTTCTGACATGGACTTCAAATGTGAAATATATACATTTTCTTAGCCACTGTATCACA